GCGACCAGGACGCAGATATCTGCCATCTCTAATCATCTGGTTCTCCCCCCAAAAGGGCTTTTGGGTTTTCAAGTGAACAAGAGCCTTTCTCTGACAAATTTGGTGCAGTTTCCCATCCAGCTTTTCAGTTAGGAAGATTATCAGAAAAGAAAACAGCAGGCACACAGAGCAGGTCTATCAAGGAAGGAAAAACCACGTTTACAGAGCGAGGGATCCCGGCGGGGCCCTGGGTCACTGAATGAATGAGCTGCAGGGGGCCACACAAAGGTATCGGGTTTGGGATGAGCATGAAGATGAGACGACACAAACAGGTGGAGAGGAGATTCGGTTCTTGACAGAGAAGAGGAGGAGGAGGAGGAATCTGACACTAAAAAAAATAAGCGGGAGAAAGAAAGGATAAAGGCAAAAAAAAATATTTAGAGACACAAAGAAAAAGGTAAACTCGTGTTTTATATACTCACATAAGCTGTAAAGAAAAGAAGGTGGTGTAATAGGCACTCATTCCTCTACGTGACAATACAAGTGCTTTTCGGAGAAAACAAATGTGTTGGATTTTCTTTTCTACTGGTTATTTGTTCTGCAAACATCACCACAGAGTAAGAACCCAGAGGTACCGGGGCACAGGGTCAGCCATATGAGCCTGTGTCTCAACCAACAGCAGCCAAGGCATTTTAAAGGCAACTATTTGCCTTTCAATCGGAAAGGGTTGGAGGTGGACTTTTCGTCGACTTGTTTTTTGTGAGAAGCACTTATATAATGTTTACTCGAATGCTATGGTGGGGGAAGGTACAATGACTGATGGGTTGAGGTCCCAAGATGGCCATGGAGAGTCAGCTACTTCAGGTGGTCTACGTATTGGGTGCGGCAACAGTTGGGCAGGTCTGCAAAAGATGCCGTTACTGTCCCCTTCACATCTCAAAGCTGGGGGGACACTCAGGGAAATATAGTGGTGACAGAAGAATTGATGGCTTTGGGCAGTGGAGAAGAGTACTGAATATCCCATGGACTGTCAAAAGAACAAAAAAAAAGATGTCCTGGCAACCAGAGTGTGTCTTTGGAGTCAAGGATGACTAAGCTTCATCTCATATACTCTGGGTGTTGGGAGGGCCTGTTTCTTGAAAAGGCACATGATGTTTGACAAGGTGGACGTTCAACATGAGAGAGGAAGACCCTCAATGAGATACACTGACACAGTGACTGCGGTGGTGGGCTCAAGTGTGTCAGAGATGGCAGGGTGCCACAGGACAGGACACCGTTCAGATCTAGTGTTCATAGGGTTGCTGTGAGTTGTACTCGACTTGATGGCACCTAACAACAACAATAGTGATGGGGGGACACGACAGCGCCCAATTAAAATGCCTCCCCAGCAAAATGGGCCAAGTTTTTGAGTGAAAAAAAAAAGAATTTGGTCAACTGGAGTTCATGTTGTAAAACAAAACATAGATGAAAGATTTAATGAAACACTAGTATGATTTGTAATATTGCATTCAAATAAAAAAAGCATCTGCTATGAAAAAAAAAATGATTTTGATTTGAGTACTAAACTCGTTGCCACCGAGTCCATTTGGACTCCCAGCAATGCTACAGGGCAGGGCTGGCTGCCCCGTAGGGTTTCACAGGCTGTAACCTTCACAGCAGAAGACTCTCATGTGACGGTAGTGGGGCAGTCAGCAGGCTCAAACCTCTGACTCTGTGGTTGGCAGCCAAGTGCTTAATGACTGCATCACCAGGCTCCTGTGGAGGGGTGTTGAATAACGTCTACCACGGAGCAAAGAGTAAACCTCCTTATTCATCATCCTGATTTGAAGGCAGAAGCCTGGTAGTTCATAGATGAGGGTTCTTGACATTGGTATATTTATCTGGATACATTTAAAAGTTTTCAATAATAATAATAATAGTAAAAAAAGAAATTCAGTACTAAAAAATAAAACAAAAACAACTTGAGGACCTAAGGTCTCAGAAAGGAATCTGCACAACACAGTGGGTGGTTCTGGGCCTGGGGCCAGAGCAGGTGAGGTCAAGACGGTGGGAGATCACCCACGGCAACCAGGCCCGCTGATGTCATACTGCGTGGTTTTGTTCTCACTGGGTGCCCATCCTTGAACTCAAGCCACTAAGGCAGCCAAGGTCTGAGAGTGACATAGACCCGGGCTCTGCCCTGCTGCCACCAGCGAGGGCTGGTTCTCCCTGACCACAGCTGGTCCAAGCTCCTTCTGTTTCACTCAGACACACTGTTACTTTGGAAAAGTTCTTTTTCTTCCCTGTACAACAGTTGTTTTTTAAAAAACAAACAAACAAAACACACCACATGAGCTGTGCTGTGGTGGGTATTCAAAATGAGCCTGCTTCCTTTCATGCCATGTGGCTCAAAACTGTGGCAGAGTGAAGGAAAATGGCTGTGGTTAAGCTGGATGGAAAAGTCCAGAATGTAAAATATGTGGGCTGTGGATGCCACATAGCTGAAAAAAAAAAAGAAAAATGAGGAAGTTCTCTATGGATGAATACTGCATGATGTTCAAGATGGGCTGTGAAGTCAAAAAAAGGTGGTGCAGAACATCTTGGATTATATGCCCTTGTTGTTTTTTAATAGGGAGTGGCATAATATATTCCTACTCGGGGGGAAAAAATGCCAGAAAGGTAAACAAAGAGCTGATGAAAATGGTTACATTTGGGGAAAGAGAGGACAGAGGGGCAGGGATGGAAGAGAACTTCCCTACGGTGCCCTGTGAGTTCTAGTTTTGGCTTCTGAGTCCTGGAAACGTATTATGCACCGACATGGAATCAAGAGGCAATCTACACTCTGTGGCTCGTTCACACGGCAGGCCATCCTCCGAGGCTGGCCCTCTTGCCTCTGTGCTGCTGGAAGAAATTCTAGAAGACTGGACTGAGACGGAGGCATCTTATCAGACGTCTTAGATTTGTATGGCCATTTCAGAATGCTCTACCCTCTTCACACATAGTCTGTTTGACTGATATCTGACCGTCTGGTTTTCTGAGCCTCTGGTCTTCTGGATGAACCAGCTGCCATCACGGGCAGCTATTCTTGTCTAGCCTCACGCGTCAGAGCAGGGTGGTGCCCCTTTGGGGTAGCTCTCTGGAATTAAGATTGTCAGGCCTTTCTTCCTAAGTGCATTTGGGTGACCTTGAACCACTAACCTTTTTGCTTAACTTATTGGGCCACTTGGAGACTCAGGTTATGCAAATGGTGAGGTACAGATCAGTATTTAGTGGCTTTGGGTGGCAGGCCAGTGAAAAGGATCCCAGAAGGATTTTGTGAAAAGGTAAACGGGGATCAGAATAATCACCGGCCCAGGCCAGGGTGGTTGCTGCTCGGCTGTTCATGGAAGGTGTATGCACCATCGAGTCAGATTTCAGCCACCTGGGTGCCCAGGATGAAGAGTACAAATGCCACTAATGAGAAGGGGAGTGAGAGTGGACCGAACCTGCCTGGGGGAAGCGTCTCCCTCCGCCTGTGCCATCGAGAACAGCTCACTGGACACCATGGCAGGTGAGGTTTAACCTCAAGAAGGAGACCCCAGAGGGACAGAGGGAAGATGGAATCACAGGGCATCACGTCTTCTCTGCCACTATCTGTTCTCAGAGTGACCCCAGTCAGGCCTCAAGTAGGGCCACAGAGTAGAGAGTGGAAGGGACAAGGCGGTGGGAAGGAAAGGGGCCTGAGTTTCGTACGTTTGTCCTTACTGGAACCTGGGCAGGGAGGAGTAGGGAAGGGGAAAGCAGCTCCGGGCAGCCAGGGCAGTAATTGCTGGCCTCACTGTGTGCTTTAAGCCTTCTCCCCTGGCTCAGCTGGTCCTGCCCAGTGACCAGCTGACCGGTTGTTCCTATCATGGAGGAGGATCCTGGATCCCTTCAGCAGGGGGGCTGGGGGGGGGGCTGGGCAGGAGAGTTCAGCTTGATTTGCAGTCCAGTTCCACCAGTGATCTCGAGGGGTCAGCCAGTATGTTTGGAGGGGTCATCATGACTCCTTGGTGGCTGAGTGCTCTGTTGAAATGTTTGGCACATGTGGCCTTTCCAACACCTGACCATTATTTTGACCCAGGGGACCTAGAGGGGGCTGTTGGATCAGACATGCTGACCACCCTGAACTTGGGTAGAGAGCCTTGCACTTGGCAGGAGCAGAGCCAGTGGGCCCAGAGGCCTGTTCCCCCTGTAGTGCCTGGTGGTGCATTCCCTTCATGTGGGCCCTGGCTTTTTGTGGATCTGGAACTTGACAGGAGGACAGAGAGGGACCTTAGGCTCCTCTCAAAGCCAGTCCACAGAAGACGAGGCTGACCTAGAGAAGGGTGAGGCCCACTGAGGGGCAGGACAGGCTCTGGGCGATGCTCGAGGGCCCCCGGCTTGCTTGTGCAGAATGGACTTCATTATGTTTTGTGGGCCTACAGAGTCCTATATGCACAGATGGTCAATGACACCACTGCCATCTCTGGCTCGGAGGTCTGGAAGCCACGTGGGCAGAGTCCCTGGCCTGTACTTGGGCAAATGAGGGACACAGCCAGGGGATGTCGAAGTCCACTCAGAGTCAGCAAGTACTCACAGGATGGGGGGTGGGGTCGGGGCTCAGGACCCACCTGCCTCCCCAGTGGGACTTTACACTCGGCTGCTCTGTGTTTATATGTGCAACTGACCAGAAATGAGAAGGAAAAAAAAAATAAATCTCGATTTCAGCAAGTCCTGAAATCTACAAGGAGAGGCAGAAAAAGAGAGCGAGAGGAAATTTGATGGGAGAAGGGACAATCTATTCTTAGTTTTAGACTTTAGGCTCTGAGAGCAAGGAGAAAAATAGCAAGATTTTAGAGTTGTGCTGGACAAGTAATATTACCTCCCCCACGGAGAACAAACACTTGCAGATGATACGGGAAAACACGTGGCTGATGTCTGCACATCTGCGGAGGAACCTTCCAGCCCCCGCCCGGCTCCATCCCCGTGACTCCATGATTCTCTCTGACACCATTTCGTCCCCTCTGGCCTTTTATTCTCACCTGTTTCGGGATCGCTGAAGTCGGGCAAAGTAATTGTATTAAGCTGTCGTCTGTCAGCAATGGTTCTATCTAAGAGGCTGCTCCCGCGTCCAGAATCACTGAAAAACACAGCTACAGATGTCAGTCATTGGGGTGTGGAGGCCTCTGCCGGCCTGGCCATCTCCAGCACCTTCCCACTCATCGTACCTGGGCTGGGCATCCTCCCAACACCCCACAGCCCAAATACGCGCAAACCAAACCCTCCGGTTCTCCAGTAAGACGTACTGATGAAGCCGTCAATCCAGGGTCTCTACCCAGCTGATGGAGGACCGAAGTGGTATTCTGAGGTATGTGTCCTTAGGGACACCACCCCGACTCAGCGTGGTCTGGAGAACCGACCCCTTGTCATCTGTGCTGTTGATTCCTCACTGCACTGAGGGGAAAGGGCACGTCAGACCAGCAGGGACATGAGGAGCGGCTGTCAGGGGCTCGGGAGCGGAGGAAGAGTAGGGAGGACACCGGGTATGTTCAGGGCGATGTGATTATTCCCTCGGAAACAGTGATGGAGGGCACGTGACACATCTGTCAAGGTCCCCCTGACAGTACTGTCCAGCCCAGGAGGGAACCTCGTGTGATCAATGGACGTTTGTAAATGACCCTGCACGGATACGTTTCACCACTGTCAGAGCTGCACGTCACTACAGCAAGGTGGTACCAGCGGGGACACAGTCAGCTGGAGGGGGGGCGATATGATATCTTCCTAGACAGTCTGCTCGATTTCTGTAAAACCCCAACAATCCACCTCCATCCAGTTAATTCTGACTCAGTGAACCTGTTGGTCAGAGCGGCCCCACCTGTGTAGGGTTTCCAAGGCCTTAAACCTTTACCAGAACAAAGACTTGTCTTTCTCCTGGGAAGCTGTTGGTGGGTTTGAACTGCAAACCTTTCGGTAAATAGTTGCATGCCTTAAACACAGCATGGTCTCAGCTCTTTCTCATAAACCTAAAATGGCCCTAAAAAAAAAAATCAAGTCTATTAATTATATTACCTGGGGACATTTCTAGAAAATGGTCCATTAAGTAAGAATTTCTCAGGTGGTCACTAGTTTTCAAAGCTCTTCAGGTGGTTCAGGTGTGTTGGAGAACCCCAATTCTTACTTGTTAAAGAGACAGCTCAGCCTCTTCTCCAACACTGTCACTCAAAAGGCATCAATTCTTCTTTGGTCATCATGATCTTTCCGTGTTTCCCTCCAGCTGTGAGATGTGAAGTGGACAGTAACTGTGTCTCTTGCAACCTGCCCAAATGTTGCAGCGCCTAATAGGCAGGGGCTGCCCCTGACACCCTGCTCTCTGCACCACTGGACACTTGGCCACCTGTATTCTCCAGGTTGGGACACTGGAAGGGGGTGCTGTAGTTGTAGCTCTCACAGCCTCCAACTCATGATACAATGAGCCTCCGCCCAAGCCAGCTCCCCTGCAGTCTCCAGGCTGAGCTTTCCCCAGGCCCCCCCCCCCCCCCCCCGCCACATGTGGCTGCGAGCCAGCTGTGGGCTATTCATTGGGCAACGTAACCTGGGGACCACCCAGGGCAAAGAGGGAAAATAGGGCTTTCATCAGACTGACTCTCTCATTATTCTTCTAAGGAGCTTGTAAATAAAAACACTGGCCAACTTTGGAAAAATAATGGGAAGTTTCCTTTTTCCCTCTATTATGATATTCATCAAACCTCATCATCAGAATAGACACCATTGCTGTCACATTGTTGTGACCCTACAGAACAGATGTGGACTGTCCCTCAGGTTTCCAAGCCTGTAAGCTGTAAGGGAGGGACAGGGGACAGCAACATCTTCCTCATGTGGAGTGACTGGGAAATTTAACCCATGTATGCAAAGCAGATTATCCGAGAGGCTGGGCTCTATGAGGAGAATTGTGGCATCAGGATTGGTGGAAGATCTATTAACAATCTCCGTTATGCAGATGACACAACCCTGCTTGCTGAAACTGAGGAGGACCTCATGCACTTGCTGTGAAGGGTCAAAGCCTTCAGTATGGACTGAGGCTCAATGTCAAGAAGACAAAGATTCTCGCCCACTGGACCATTTGGCAGCGTCAGGATGGATGACGAAGAGATTGAGAGTGTTCACAGCTTCACTTTGCTCGGCTCCACAGTCAACACTCTTGGCACCAGCAGTCAGGAAATCAAAAAGCATATCGCAAAGGGAAAGTCTGCTGTTAGGGACCTCTCTAAGGTACTCAGGAGCAACAGTGTCTCTCTGGAGACTAAGGTGCGCCTGATACAGGCCATGGTATTTGCAATCGCTTGTTATGCATCAGAGAGTTGGACAATGACTAGGGAGGACAGAAGGAGAGTGGATGCTTTTGAGCTGTGGTGCTGGAGAAGGGTACTGAAGGTACCATGGACTGCCAGGAAAACAAACAGATTCATCTTGGAGAGGATTAAACCCTCTATGAGATGGATTGATTCAGTGACTGGGGTAATCGGGATGGGTGTGTCAGAGGTGGTGTGGTTGGCGCAGGATAGAGCAGGGTTTAGGACTGTTGTGCATAGGGTCGCTATGAGTCGGAAATGACTCGACGGCACATAACAACAACAATAACAACCTCCATGATGCTTTCTCTCAACAGAACAGACCTGATGATGTGCTCCCGTGAAAAAGAAAATCCAAACACACCCACCACCATGGAGTGGTTTCTGAATCAAAGCGGCCCTGGATGGAGGACAGAGGAGACGTGCCCCAGAGGATTCATTCCCAAAGTGGTCGATATTTCTAGAAGCAGACTGCCACGGTACAGAGTGACAAACTATTGAATTTTGACTCTTTAAAGTTTTGTGTTTTAGGGTTTGTTGTTGTTGTTTTTTTAAATTTTGCAAGTTTTTGTTTTTGTTTCCTTTTCCCAGCCTAGAGGCTCTTACAGTGATTTAAAAAAAAAAAAAAAAAGAAGTTTCAAATTCAACAATAAAAGGACACAATTTCCTTCCTCTATGCAGCTGTTACTGAAAGTGGCATAAATAAGATCTAGCGTGAAACTTAATATGGTTTGCAGGCTGCAATTTCCACGTCCAGTGATGGAATGGGAGAAATCTGCCTGGGACCAGAGGGAAACGTGCACTGGGACACGCTGTTTGTCAGCCTGGACTTATGACATCATCTGATGCAGGGTTTTCTGGAAACTACTCCATTAATTATTTCCACGACTGAGAACAATGGGCATCTGAGCAAAAGACAACATAAAAGTGCGCACACGTTCATGAATCACATCGCTGGTAGTTGCAGTGGAGTTGACTCATGGCTGACACGGCTGCCTGAATATTTCTGGTATGCATCTGTTCATTTTGAAAAGCTTCATGCAAACGTGACACAGCGATGACTTTTCCAAGGCAGTATGGGCATTATTACCGTTACAAGAAGTTGATTCTGCAATGACTTTCCACTTACAAGGGTGTTCCCCCCCCCCCCCCCCCCGAAGATCTTATCTCAAACACTGGAAAGGATCTTGATCACCTGGAGGATTCTGGGAGATGTGAAGTGGCTTTGGCAGTGCGAAGGGAGAATGTGCCTGGGTAGACCAAACACCAGGAAGTGCGTCGGAAATGCTGAGTCTCAGTCTGAATTCTCCGGGCTTCTCTTCCAGCCTGATTCAGAGCACGAGTTGCCCTCCAAGGACAATGCTTTGGGAAAAGTTTTGAAACTGAGCTCTTACCCTACTTCTGGAGGGTATCCAGTCACTGAGTAGGTCACGGTGGGCCCGCCCACTTTTCCAGGCTTCAATGACTCCCTTGGCAGATTCAACGGGATTGGGATTGTGTTCCTACAAAGAACTGTGAGAGGGAGCTCTGGTGTCACGGGGGTAAGAAGTTGAGCTGCATTCTCTAAGCCATGAAGGTTTGAATTCACCAGCCGCTCCGCGGAACGATGGGCAATCTCCTCCCATGTGACTGCCTGCCTCTGAAAATCTGCTGGTGTGTCAGCCATGTTTCACAGGATAAAATGAAGGTCATGTGTAGAGAGCATTTGGAAGAGTTAAAAAGTCTGGGCACACACACAAGGTTCCGCCACAAACGCACAGCCCCACAGCACACGCGGATCCACGCGGCGTGTATGGACAAGGCTGGCTAATCCCAAAGCTGACTGACCCCAGGCTTCTGGAGCGACTGTGGGGGCCTCGGAAGCTGCGTGCAGGTCTCCGGTTCCCACTGTTAGAAGTCCCAGTCATAATCTCAGTCTGTGACTGTCAGGACTCACAGCAACACAGGATCCTTTTTCCTCCCCCAGCAAAGACACATTCCTTTGATTGACTGTCGTCCATACAATTCTCATACGACAAAAATCTATACAACTGACCAACTATTGAAAATAGACATGCATTTGTTTCCACCATGAATGTTCTGCCCCTAGAAAGAATGAGGTATTTGTAAGTGACTGAGAATTTGCCTGGGGGCTTGAAGCAATTTAAAATTTGTCATTTACTCGGTGCCATCAAGAGCTGAGCCATCGTGTGTTGCCTTGTATGACCCACAGGATGTGGAAGAGGAGGTCAGCCCTTACGTCTCCTTCCTCAACTGCGTCAGCTTCTCCAAATGCAGGACTATAAGCTGCCTTCACTCCCTTCTAGGACCCTGTATTCTTGGGCATCACATAGGAACCATCCATCCATCACTCAGCCTGGTCCTTGGGCTGCCAGAAGCACCTCTTCAGGAAGAAGGCAGGAAATCCACAGCTTTGGGAGGAGAACTCTGGGGAAAATCACTGGTCTGTGGATTGCAAGTTATGGGCATTACACATCCAGGGCCTTCTGTTCCTCGGTGGGAAGGACCAGAGTAAACTAATGAAAGTTAAAGTTACACTGGAAGTTGGAAACTGAGCATGAGAGGCTAAGTGGTGGTGGACTAAGAGCTGGGATCCAGAATTTCAGCTTTATCTCCTTCTCAGGACCCTGAAGAGTGGTGGGCACACAGCGAACACGGAATGAGAGAGGAGCTGTGGATGAAAACCAGAGTCAGGAGAGGAAGCCATGGGCAGCGGGGGAGGTCACCCCTCATTTTCTCCAGCCTAGGAAGCCTTGATGACTAGAGTCAAGTTCCTGCCACCCTTGATTCT